GTCAGCAGGGATATTATGTTGATGAGTCGGTAGCCCAGATGGAGGATGATTATGACGAGTCGGCATCTTCATATGATGAGGATGATGACGATATTTTTGCACCGGCTACGGTTCCTGTGCAGCCTGCAGCTCTTTCACGGCCTGTTTGGCCTGCTCCTCCACGACCGGCTGGGGGCGTTTTGCTAGCACTAGATCCTCAGGTAAATAATTTACGTACTTATTGTTGTTTGACATTAAATATTTCGACTTAATTATAACAATTTATCTTTACTGTTAATGACATTATGTTCTATTCTAATGCAGGTATTAGCGATCTAGGACTGATCGTGAGGCAGACTGGATCGTTAGAGGTCAAGTGGTCGGTGGGCCCATGGATGGAAGTGTGATCCCTAGCTTTCTAGGGCACGTAGCCTCCCGATTGTGGAATGGAGAATGTCGAGGCTTACTGAAATGCCATAACAGAGTGCAAGTGTTTGGTAATCTAAAAGATTGGCGAGGTGATATGTCTTCCGAGACACTTGATCTGATCAAGGATACCGGACTGTCACATCTGGCAGACTCCATGCACGCCCACTTGGACACTCCACTGCTTATTGTATTTGTGGAGCGATGGCAGCCGGATACTAACTCGATTCACCTGCCTTTTGGTGAAATGAGCATTATGCTGCATGATGTCCGGGCCATTTTGGACATTCCTATTGAGGGAGCCATGGTTGTTGAGGAGCCGGATACAGGGGTCTTCCAGGCTTACTGCATGGATATACTTTCGGTTAGTAAGTGTGACCTCTTTGGGTCGTTCTGGCAGCGTGGTTTTGTGGGAGAAGGCTCCGTTGTGGAGCAATTCAGCGGTAAAGGCCAGTTGGCGTTGGATGAGGCTGGTGCCTGGATTTGGGTGCTGCTGTCTATTACCTTGTTCGGTGACAGGAGTGGTAGTAGAGTGACTCTCAAGCTCCTAGCTGAGGTGCTTGACGACGTGGATTCCATTGGGGGTTACTCATGGGGATCGGCTACGTTGGCATACTTGTACCGATAGTTAGGTATTGCCAGCAGATGGGACTCCAAACAACTTTCCGGCTGCTTGACTCTTATGAAGTCTTAGATTTACGAGTATTTTCCCGATTTTCGACCCTAGGGGGCGTCTACCCCTCGGTCCTAACGACTTCGCACGATCTCGGATGTGGAGCCCACCGGCGGGTCAAAAGAAGGACGAGCGTCTCACAGCCATCCGTCGGAGACTTGACAGACTCACTGTCTCCGATGTACGTTAAGTTATTTTATTTAAATTTAGTTACTCGTTAATTAAAATAATATAAATATTTTTATAAATGCTTTTATGCAATTGTGAACAGGTGCAATGGTTGCCATACGGCACCTCCAGCCCACATGAGATAGAGCCGAGGACTCTTTATTGTGGGTTAATTCGGTACCGCGATATCGTCGAGCCATACTTTCTTGTGCGGTTTCTGCAGCAGTTGGGGTATGTCCAGACAGTTCCTCCCCTATGTTTACGCCAATCGATGCCAGCCATCCTTGGGAGTCGAGGCTCTACAAGGTTGAGCATTCTGATGTCACTGCAGTATCTATGTAGAACCAGTTCCAGGTATCGCATACCATCAACTCCAGTATGTATAAGGTCAGCACATATGATCGAACAGAGGTGACTGCGGAGTACATGCAGTGGTACCGTCGGGTTTCCCCATCCTAAATGTTTGGGCGAGAATCTGTCGGACCAGAACGAGGTCCCTATGCGTGCCAACAGCGACTATGTAAGTCTCATGATAAATTGTAGTTGTTATTTGATTACAATAATTTTATTTTTTTATAAATATTAATCATATCTCTTTTTCCTTCTATTTTTCGTAGTGGGTGGACCGTCTTGCCAGCCTTTATTCGAACACCTTGCGGGATTTAACAGGTTATGATCTTGTGCTGGTGCAGCAGTACGCAGACGAATTGGCTAAATATAAGGTGGATTACGCCAATGCAAAATAATTTTGTAATGAATGTTTTTTTTTAACTGCAAAACATTAATGAGATTGGTGCGCAATTTTCTTATTATTTTTATTTTATTTTGTTCTTGTTAGACTACATTATTTGAACTCAAATATTGCATAACAAAGATGTTTGACATAATCAATGTAAAATGGCGATAAAAAATATATGGTTCGGCTACTCCACACGAGTCATGTGCGAGAAACGCAGCTCACATGACTCGTGTGAATTAACACGACTCGTGTGACTACGCACACACGACTCGTGTGAAATCCCGAAGAAGATTAACGGATATTGGCAGGCCCACACGAGTCATGTGGGTGAGGCACACGACTCGTGTGAGCCACCCACACGACTCGTGTGGGTCTGCCAATATCCGTTAGTTTTCTTTGGGATGTCCACACGAGTCGTGTGGATGAGGCACACGAGTCGAGTGCGTCACCCACACGACTAGTGTGGAAATCCCGAAGCAAATTAACGGATATTGGCAGACCCACATGAGTTGTGTAGATGAGACACACGACGGATATTGCCAGACCCACACGAGTCGTGTGGATGAGGCACACGGGTCATGTGACCTCACACGAGTCGTGTGGCACACGACTCGTGTGGGTCTGCCAATATCCGTTAATTTGCTTCGGGATTTCCACACGAGTGGTGTGGGTGACGCACACGACTCATGTGCCTCATACACACGACTCGTGTGATGTCACACGACTCGTGTGCCACATCCACACGACTCGTGTGAAAAACGAAACCATTTTTTTTTACTATTCAAAATTTATGACATTACCCATTATTTATGCATTTCTTAGTTTTGTTATACTATGTTTGAACTTAAATATTCCATAACAATCAAAAAAACGACAACCGAATAATATTCGCCTTTTATTCATCAAGAAATATTTTGTTCGTCAAACCACAATTGCACCATATGCTGGTACTGATTCTCCCAA